CAACAAAGCTATCATTCAGAATTGAAGGTCAGATAAAGAGCTTCACAGATAAGGAAAAGCTAAAGGTGTTCATCACCACCAAACCAGTATTATATGAAATGCTTTAAGAAGAGGAAGTAGAAGAAAAAGGTAAAGATACAAATTATGAACAACAAATACACATCTATCAACAAGTGAATAAATAATCTGATGAACAGAGTAAACTAGTGAATATAATAGAATCAGGGACATAGAAAGGAAGTGGACTGACTATTTCCTTGGGGTTGGGGGGGAAGGATGTGTAGGGGGTGCGCGAAGAGACTGGACAAAAATGGTAAGGGCAGAGGGTGGGGTGGGAACTGGGTGGAGGGGAGCTATGGGGGGAAAAAAGAGGAACAACTGTAATAATCTGAACAATAAAGATTTAATTAAAAAAAAATAATATTGTACTTCCTCATTCTCTACTTTGACTTGTATTTATCTTGGCATATTATTCCACTTCACTTAAGATTACTTTTGTATTTTCATTATTATCTCTTTTTAAAACATTTTTATTGATTGATTTTAAAGAGAGAGGAAGGGGAGGAGAAAAAGAGGTAGAGAGAAAGAGAAACATGGATTTGTTATTCCACTTATCCATGCATTCGTTGGTTGATTCTTGTATGTGCTCTAACCAGGGATTGAACCCAAAACCTTGGCGTATTGGGACAACACTCTACCAACTGAACTACCCAACCAGGACTATTTTACTATATTTTTGCAAAGTGGTTTCTGATATTTTTAATTTTAAACTTATTCATTATAAGTTGGTATATACATCTGACTGCTTCATTATGTCATACGTTGTCCCCAAATATTTATATGCTGAAATACATATTTAAAAAAATAAATTACTGTCTTTTTTATTTCTTCTTTATAAATCAGTTAGAACATTGTATTTTCCTGAATTTTTTTGTGTGTGGGTAGGTTATATCATCTATGAATTGCACTTCAGGTTAGTAGAGGAGGCATTATAAAATATATGTGATTAAAAAGTGGAGATTTCGTCTAATAGGACTAAGACCCACTGATTCATCATGTAAAGAAAGCATGATAGTCCTTAAGCACTATATATACCCTTTCCTGCAAAGTCTTCTTGTTAATCAGCAGCCTGGATGTCTTGTCACATACATGGATAGAGTAAGTTTTCAAGTATGCTTTTCATCCATGTCTTTCATTCCTCATTTTAATAATCTACATATATCTTTTCGCTTTCTTCAACTTTGCAGCAGGAGGTTCAGCTCATCTCGTGATATTCATACATTTGAGATTCTTAGCAGTGTTTTCTATAGGAAAAGATTATAAGATTTGCAGAATAATAATTATTTTCTCTTACTAGTTATAAACAAACTAGAGGCCCGGTGCACAAAAATTTGTGCACTCGGGGTGTAGGGGGTAGGGGGGTCCCTCAGCCCGGTCTGTGCCCTCTCACAGTCTGGGACCCCTCGGGAGATAATGACATGCTGGCTTAGGCCCACTCCCGGGTGGCAGAGGGCAAGCCCAATCCCTAGGTGCCTGTCCCGCAGACCCTGGTCGGGCTCAGAGCAGGGCTGATTGGGGAGTTGGGGCGCCGCCCCCTGTCATGCACAGAGCAGGGCAGATCAGGAGGTTGCGATGCCACCCTCAGTCACACTCAGGGTAGGGCCGATTGGGGGGTTGGGGCACCGCCCCCTGTCACACTCAAGGCAGGGTTGATGGGGTTGCGGCGCCACCCCCTGTCACGCACAGAGCAGGGCGGATCAGGGGGTTGTGGTGCCACCCCTGTCACATACAGAGCTGGCCGATCAGGGGGTTGGGGCGCTGCACCCTGTCACACACAGAGCAGGGCCCATCAGGGGGGTTGGGGCTCCGTACCCTGTCACACACAGAGCAGGGCCGATCAGGGGGTTGGGGAGCTCACCCCTGTCACGCACAGAGCAGGGCCGATCAGGGGTTTGGGGAGCTCTCCCCTGTCACGCACAGAGCAGGGCCGATCAGGGGGTTGGGGAGCTCCCCCCTGTCATGCACAGAGCAGGGCCAATCAGGAGGTTGTGATGCCACCCTCAGTCACACTCAGGGTAGGGCCCATTGGGGGGTTGGGGTGCCGCCCCCTGTCACACTCAAGGCATGGTCGATGGGGAGGTTGGGGCGCCACCCTGTCACCCACAGAGCAAGGCTGATCAGGGGGTTGGGGCACTACTACCTGTCACACTCAGGGCAGGGCCGATGGGGAGGTTGCGGCTCCACCCTGTCACACACAGCAGGGCCCATGGGGGAGTTGGGGGGCCGCACCCTGTCACAGACAGAGCAGGGCCGATCAGGGGGTTGGGGAGCTCCCCCCTATCAGGCACAGAGCAGGGCCGATCAGGGGGTTGGGGCGCCTTCCCCTGTCACAAATAGAGCAGGGCGGATAGGGAGGTTGTGGCCCCACCACCTGTCACACACAGAGCCGCAGGGCGATCAGGGGGTTTGGGCGCTGCCCCCTGTCACGCTGCTCCAGGGGCCAGGAGGCCTCGCGGCTCCGCTGATCCCGGTGCTGGGAGGCATATTACCCTTTTACTATATAGGATAGAGGCCTGTTGCACGGGTGGGGGCCGGCTGGTTTGCCCTGAAGGGTGTCCTGGATCAGGGTGGGAGTCCCGCTTGATTGCCTGGCCAGCCTGGATGAGGTGATGATGGCTGTTTGCATCTGGTCACACCCCCTTCAGGGTGGGGGTCCCCACTGGGGTGCCTGGCCAGTCTGGGTGAGGGGCTGAGGGCCGTTTTCAGGCTGGCGGGTGACTGAAGCTCCCAACCGCTCCTTTTTTCCTTTTTTTTTTTTATTGGATTTATGGCTGTCACTGGAGCTGAGAGCTGGCTTTAGCTGTGAGACCTCGCTGCTGAAAGCAGGTTTCTGGCTTTGTTTACTTTCTGTATTTGAAACTTTGTTGCGACTCCAGCTCTGAGATCCCGGCTGACTGAAAACTGGTTTCTGGGGTTTTGTTTAGCTTCTATATTTGTAACAATATTTCTTAGCAGCTCAGAGCCCAGCAGCGGCAGGCGGGGAACATTGGAGTCCTCCGTCACTGAAGCAAGCAAGCCTCCTGTTCATGTCAGTAGCCTGGCTGCCGGCCGCCATCTTGGCTGGCAGTTAATTTGCATATCGCTCTGATTAGCCAATGGGAAGGGTAGCAGATGTACGGCTAATTAGCATGTTTCTCTTTTATTAGATAGGATTCATGCAGCCTGATATTTTAATTTAAGCTTTCCCCACCATGCTCCCCCAAAAATACAACTTAGTGAAATATTGTAGTCTCCCCTTGTCCGCAGGGGATGATCCCCAGTAGGTGCCTGAAACTAAGATAGTACCAAACCCTATATAGACTGTTTTTTCCTATACATACCTACCTTTTCATGTAAAGGAAGCTTTTTATGGCTTCTCTTTGGCATATTTGAATTACCGGCAACACTACTCTGGTGCTTTGGAGCCATTATTAAGTAAAATAAGGGTTATTTGAACACAAGCACTTTGATATCACAATAGTTAATCTGATAGCCCAGATCACTACTAAGTAATGGATAGGTAGCATATACAGTGTGAAAACGCCAGACAAAGGGATGATTGACGTCCTGTGCAGAACAGAGTGGGATAGATTTCATCACACTGCTCTGAACAGTGCACAATTTAAAACTTATTAATTACTTCTGGATTTTTCCTTCTAATACTTTCAGACTGCAGTTGATTATGGGTAATTGAAACCATGGATAAGGGGGGACTACTGTAATAGTTTTTGAGCTGTCTTATCAAGCATGTTTTAGATAAGTTAAGTCTTGTCAAATTGTGGCCTCTGTAGATAATAAAATTAATAATGTACAAGGAAATACTATGACAGAAAAACCAATAGAGTAGATATAAAACCTAGGTTCTTGATTCTAGACATCACTTACAACCTTGGGCAAGTTGTGCAGTCTCTCTCAGCCTTGGTTTTCGGGTCTGCATGTAGAGATATCTGTCCTGCCTATCTACCAGGGTAATTGTTAGGGTCAAACAACACAAAGACTGCTAGAGAAATGTAATTCTACAATGCACTACAATAGCTGAGAAGTCTTATCATTTAGAAAAGCTTTGGTCATTAAATCAGTCTTATAGAAGGCTTCAAATTATTTCTTTACCACCACCACCAGGGTTAAAGCAATGCCCTATATAGGAGTAATTAGAAGGGGATTTAGAAGAACCTAATTGGCTCATTGGATGGCCATTGAGATGAAGAGATAGCATTCTCATCCCAGGCACTGGAATTAAAAAATAACAGGGAAGACAGATGCCAGAAGTACTGGCAGGACTTGGAAACCAGTTGGACTTGGGGTTGAGAGGAAGGAAAGAATAGTTGCACCTGAAAGATTGGAGGTCGGTGTGCTTACCACTGAGGCATGCCGTGTTTGAACTGCTGCTGGTACAGCTGGATGGAGATTTCAAAGGCAGTTTGGAATGTGGGCCTGGAGCTCAAAGAGATGTAGAGTTAGAGATTAAACCAGGAACATCCCTGTAATGAGGTCATGAAATGAGACAAGATAGGAATGAAGGGTGGAGCTTTGTAGAATGAATGTCTATGTTGAAGGGCCTGCCAGGCAAAAGGTGCCAACAAAGGCTTTTCTGACCTTGTGTTCTCTAGTCTGTGACAGTTCTGTTCTGTAGAATGTGAGACATGAGAGATATATACTTACTGCTCTTATAACTTTACATATTATAAAAGAGTCCTTGACATCTGACTACTGGGTGAGATTTGCTTCTTTGGAAATCTTCCATAGATAAACTAAAAATGAACAAACAAAAAACTGAACAAGAATTTGCATTTTGTTAAATAGCCCCTATCCAAGTTGAAAAATGGAATGTTTGTTTTTCAAATTTAATACTGCTGGCAGATACTGCTGTATTCTTACTGAAAGGCGAGTTTATATGAAATAAAGCTATATATTATTTTTGATCTCTGCTAATTTTCTTTTTCCCTCCTTTTTTCCTCTAGATTTTACATTGTGCAGTAGGTAAGTATAGAATTATCCCCCTTATTGTATACAATGGATTCTGCTTTTTTAAAAAGTCATCAAAGGCTGGTTTGATTCTTATTGAATATTGAAAAAAATTGAAACTTTATTATGTATAAAATTGCTTCAATTGGTATGGGTTTCAGTTTCTAAAATCATAAGTACTATTTAGATGTTATCACTGAACATTTTATTAAATGTCATAGCTATTTTGCTCTGTTACTTTAAAGAGGCCTCTCCTATCTTCTTGTTACAAGGCTCACAAAGAAAAAGTATCATATTTACAAAAATGTGACTTGGGGTCCTGGTGCTGTAGAAAGCCCTTTCTGTGATCACTTAAATGTTATATTCTCTTTTCTTACCTTTAAAATGGGAGTACTGCATATATTGCCTACCTCCCAGATGAATATTTAATGTATCTGAGAGGGATTGGAAACCAGTAAATGTAAAAGGTTATATAAATGTAAGGGATTTCTACTAAAAGCAGATACAATGTGTTTTCTTTTGGGGGGCAGGGAAGAGCCATCAAATTCTGCTCTGGAATGAGGCATAGTTTATAGTCTGCGGTGCTAAACCCCATTAATTAAATGGAAGTCAATTTTGGAAAGTTGGCAGACCCTGTGTAGTAGGCCTATAGTGGTTGCTATGTTTCCAGACTTGATTCTCAAAGGGAAGATTTGCAGTTGGGCTCATTCAGAAACACCCAAGGTCTGAAACCTCGAGACCTCTGCATCCAAGCCATTATGATTCACAAATTAAGAGGGTTCTTAATATATTCAGGGTGCCACACTTGGCGCTGAGGACTTCAGAGATGAGGAAATATACAGTTCAGGTGGACACACAACAAACTGTCCGCCATGGGTCTTGCATGGATACCTGGCCCCAGTACTTTTCAGGAAGACAAAGCATCATTATAAAGAGTTGCACCTTGGCTATTTTTCCACTAGGAGGAAAATCTACAGTCAGGGATTTCTCAAGTGATCTGCAGAATTTTATATGTATGTGTCTGTGTTTATTTTGGGGCTTGGTAGGTAGAATTCATAGCTTTCATTTAGATTCTCAGAGGGGTATATGATTGCAGAAGGTTAAGATTCACTGTTTCAGAACCTTTGAGCAATTGATTTGAAAAGGACTTGGGGACTCCTCTATCACAGGGTCCACTGTCCCAGAGAAGATTAGGGGACCTGGCCCAGGATACACAGCCAGTAAAAGGTGGAACCTCGCTTGGACCCAGACCCTTCTGAGCCAGAACCTATCTGACTGATTTGATTTTGTGGTGAATGGGCTTTAGCTAATATATAATCTCACACATATTTCCTTTTTAATCCTTTATCTATAATTTTGAGATGAGAAAAATTGTCCCTTAAATTAGTTAAATGAATTTTAAGCATAAGCTTGAAGATTGGGAGATATATTTGACCAGAAAGAGTTCTGGAACCACTGCAGGCCTTCTCTAAATTCTGAACCCTGTGCCACCATTCTCCCCAACTCAGCCTTCAGCTGCCCAGAAAGCTCTTAGATGCGTATGTTTTCTCAGCACGTGTACTATTATAGTTAATAGTTCATTGTATTAGTGTTCACATTCCCTTTGTCTTAGAATATATTCTCATATCTCTTTATCAAATTTCTCCCCCTGCAAATAATGTTTCTGACAAGAATTTTTATTCATTCATATGAAGAACATCATTGAATGCCCAGCAGGTGGGTGCCAGACACCATGTTGTTGGGCAGAGGTAAGCAGGCACAGGCTTAGGTTCAGGAAACTTGCAGTCAGCCCCTCTGTGGTCCTTTTGCAGAAGGCATTCCACAGACCAGCATCCGTGTCACACTCTGCTCTGATGGTTTGTTCACAGTAGATGCTTAAAAATTCCTTCCTATTCCTCAAAGACCTTGTTCTGTCAGCAACTCTATCTCCTGTATCATCACCCTTTGTCATCTACCTTTTCCTTCTCAGCTCACAAAATGCTCGGTGTTCCATTATAAAAATAATTTTTAACCTAACCTCTAACCCTACGTTACTCCTTTACAGCTATATAATTCCTCTTCAGAAATTTTACATAGTTTATGGTAGACTTTTTCTACTTCCTCACTCCCAGTTATACTTTAACCATATAGTCAAGCTCTGTCCTCATTGTCTTATTAAAATTGCCCTCTGGTCTAAGATCAGCAGCCGTACCCTAACCGGTTTGGCTCAGTGGATAGAGCATCGGCCTGCGGACTGAAGGGTCCCAGGTTCGATTCCGGTCAAGGGCATGTACCTGGGTTGCGGGCACATCCCCAATAGGGAGTGTGCAGGAGGCAGCTGATCGATGTTTCTCTCTCATCGATGTTTCTAACTCTGCCCTCTCCCTTCCTCTCTGTAAAAATTCAATAAAATATATTTTAAAAAAAGAAAAAAAAAGAAAAGAAAGTCAGCAGCCGTTTCTGCTAAATTCCAAGGACACATGGAACTCTCTGGACTTCTGAACTACATTGGGCCCCATTGATGACTCCCTCTGTGAGATCCTGCTCCCTTAGCTTTCATTATAAAGAGCCCTCCTGGCTTTTCTTGTCCTCTATGGTTCTTTTCTTTGGGGCCTTTATTGCTCTCCTTGCCCCTAAATTGTAGGTGTTCCCAGGGTCTGACCTAGCTCATTGCTCTCCTGACTGAACACACCCTTTGTAGTGATTAATTCCCTTCTCATGGTATGAGATACTTAGGACATCTGCTTCTCTAACTCTAAGCACACCTGACACCTGCACTTCAGACTCTAAACTCATCTGGGTACCTATTCTTTTTTTTTTTTTAATATATTTTATTGATTTTTTACAGAGAGGAAGAGAGAGAGATAGAGAGTTAGAAACATCGATGAGAGAAACATCGATCAGCTGCCTCCAGCACATCTCCTACTGGGGATGTGCCCGCAACCCAGGTACATGCCCTTGACCGGAATCGAACCTGGGACCTTTCAGTCCGCAGGCCGACGCTCTATCCACTGAGCCAAACCGGTTTTGGCTGGATACCTATTCTTGAATGCATACCTCCTTCTCAATGCAAATCAGACTCCCAAACTTGTTCTGCCTCCCATATTGTCAGGGGTACCATCAGTCACCAGCCATTCAATCACTCTTCGTAGATCTAGTGCTCATCAGCGGTGCCTCTTTCTCAAGTACCCACACTTCTATAACCTGGTTATCAAGTCTTATTGATTCTGTCTCCTAAATCTCAGATTGTCCTGTTTATTTTATCCCTACTCAGGATCTCAGTATATCTCATCTGAAGTCCTGTATGGGCCTCTGAACTTCTAGCCAGGGGTGGGCAAACTTTTTGACTCGAGGGCCACAATGGGTTCTTAAACTGGACCGGAGGGCCGGAACAAAAGCATGGATGGAGTGTTTGTGTGAACTAATATAAATTCAAAGTAAACATCATTACATAAAAGGGTACGGTCTTTTTTTTTTTTTTTTAGTTTTATTCATTTCCAATGGGCCGGATCCGGCCCGCGGGCCGTAGTTTGCCCATGGCTGTTCTAGGCTTATAATATTAACTAGAGGCCTGGTGCACAAAATTCATGCATGGGGTGGGGGGGGGTTGCCCTCAGCCCGGCCTGCACCCTCTCCAATCTGGGACCCCTCGGCAGTTGGACATCCCTCTCGCAATCTGGGACTGCTGGCTCCTAACTGCTCTCCTGCCTGCCTGTCCGATTACCCCTAACCGCTTCCGTCTGCCGGCCTGATCGCCCACAACTGCCCTCCCCTGCCACGACTCACCTCCTCTGCTGGGACCAGCCTCTTCCATGCTGTGCAGAGCCGCAGGACTCCCAGGCCTCATGGTGTAGCAGCCGCCAGGCCCTGCCTCCGCTGTGTGCACAGCCATCTTGTGACGGCTATCTTGTGACAATGTGAGGGCGTGACGCCATCTAGGCTATTATTAGTATAGATAATAATAAGAGCTACCATTTATTGAACATTTACTATGTTCCAGTGCTTTACATTCAATGTCTCATTTACTTCCCATTTTACAGTTGACAAGACAGACTTAGAAGGTTTTATATCTTGCTGAAGTTCATACAGCTAATAAGCTCTATAGCCAGGAGTTACACCCACAGCTCTGTGTCTCCAAGTCCATGCTTCAGACAAACCTTGAGGGGTTTAGTTAAAGGATAATTCTGAGCATGTCACTTTCCTTCTTAAAATACTTCACTGGTTTAAACATCAGGATTTGTTTCTGCCACCCTCCCCACCCTTGCCTGTGACAATTTCCTGCCTCCTGCTCCATGCTCCAGCAACCCTGACCTTCTTGTGGGTCCTCCCATTACATGCACTACTTCCTGCTTCTACCTAGAATGAACAGCCCACCCCCTGCAGCTGGCAACTGTTTGCTACTCTTCCACTCCCGCCCCCATAAACTCCCCTACCACCCACTGGCTAGATTAGATATCATTCTTCACTTTTTCTGTAACATCTTACACCTCACTCTTTATTATATTTTCCACAGTGTATTATGGTTTGACACTGTAGTTGTATCTACCAACACCACTAAATTTTTTGAGAATGAGAACTTTCTTAAGGGTTTCTATATCCAAATACCTAACATGGCACCTAATAATAATAATATAGGGTGACTATTATTCATTAGTAGGGACTCAGTGAAGATTTGATCATGCTCTTATCAAATTCTGGTGAAAATTTCCAGAACTTATTCCAAAATGTTTTCATTTAAAAACATTAGTGAGAATAATAATAGACTGTTTCTAACATTAGCCTAAGGCAGTGATTTTCAAACTTTTTCATCTCAAGGCACACATAAACTAATTACTAAAATTCTGTGGCACACCAGCAATATATATATATATATTGCCTATCTGACAAAAAATATAGGTGTAATTTTTATTCATTCACACTGAACAGCTATTGTCATTTTTTTATTTGACAGTCTAAGGCAGCCGTGGGCAAACTACGGCCCGCTGGCCGGATCCGGCCCGTTTGAAATGAATAAAAACTAAAAAAAAAAAAGACCG